AAACCATAGGCAGCTTGCTCTGATACCTGAATAATTATAGTCAAATTATAATTAATCATTTCTCATGAATGGCAGAATCCCCAATGAGGCATTCATTTATTCATGAGGCTAAATGATAAAAACAGCCATTCGTGCAAAAGACCCTCAGGTGGCCCTTCCTTTTCCTAACCCCTTCCAGCACCCACCTGTACAGACAGTCCTCAACTTATAACCACAATTGGGCCTAGAATTTCCATTGCTAGCAAGGCGTTTGTTAAGTGAGTTGTGCAGTTGCAGTTTTACCATGGTTGTTAAGCGAATCACTGCAGTTGTTAAATGAATCACGTGATTGTCATGTGAATTAGGCTTCCTCCATTGACTCTGCTTATTGGAAGCTATCTGGAAAGGTCACAAATAGCTACCACACGATCCCAGGACATTGCAACCACCATAAATACATGCCAGCTGCCCAGTGCCTGGATTTTCATCATATGGCCATCGGGATGCTGCAACAAACATAAGTGTGAGGACTGGTTGTAAGTCACTTTTTTCAGTGCCGCAGCAACTTTGAACAGTTGCTAAATGAATGGTTGTTAAGTCGCTAACTACCTGCATTAGAAAATTAGGCTGGAGCTTCACATGCTTAACAGTGGTAGAATTACAATTTCCATCTAATAAGAATTGCCTGACATTGATTTACAATATTTTGGTATATTAAAAGCACAGGCCCTATATGATATTTGCTTTTGTTTTGTTTTTAAAGATGTTAGGAATGCCCACTTGAGTCATGAGGAGTAGACATGATTTATAAGTATATGTGACTAATTCCCAACATTTGCTTTTTAAATGACAAGCAGCTTTCTGAGCTACCATTTTAAGAAGAAAAGCAATTAAAGCAGAGATAAGCTTAATCCTCTTCCTGACCTCTCTCCATGTCCTGAATCTGCTGCTCAGTCCAGATATGAATGTCTAAATCCACAAAATCTTGATCCGTATGTGGAAAAAAGCAAATTCAGAGCAGAGAAACATCTGGCATAGAGATCAAACATCTGCCCTGATATCAATATTCTTTCACTTAAAGCAGCAGTCTCCCTGCAGCTTTTAAAAAAATTTAGAGCTTCATTTCACTTGCTTTCTATACAACTTGCCCCATAACTGTAATTTTTATCCAACTAAACAAGCAAAGAACTAGAGGAAAAAAACAGATAGGCGAAGAAATTTTTATGAATGAAGAGATAAAGTAAGAGAAGAAGAAGAAAAAGAACAGACCTTCCTCACTGTCTGCTAAAAACTTCTGGAGTTGCAGGATACGGCTTTGTGTTCGGTCACGATCAGCCTCCAATTCATTCAGCTGATGACTCATATTCATCACCTGAATTCTTAGATCATCCTGGAACCAAGAGATATGGACATATTCATGATATCCTTGGCTTGTCACCAGGGAAGATATAAAACTTAACCAGGACACATTTATTTTTTAAATTTATTTTATACTGTGTATAATTTGCTTTATTGAGCCACAAGGGTACTTTTTAACATGGACAACTGTTGAACAACTATATAATCCACCTTGAAAAACAACTTGAAAAACAATACATATCCCAAAATCAACAATAACATTAGATAAAACAAATATTAAAATTAGAGCAAAGTAACTGCATTTTCAACAAATGATAAATCACTAGAAATCAGACTATTATCATAAACATCAGCCACAATATTGCCAGTGATTTCTCAGATAAATAATTTGCAAATGAGCTAGTTTTTACTGTTTTTACGGTTCTTTATACATAAGCAAGCATTAAATATATATTGTCATACTCTAAACTTAACTCAAATGGTTTTCTTGTCTTAAAAAAAAACCAGATGTCATGTTTCACACCTGTAACTGAAGACACCTTACTGAATTGTTTGGTATGAAAGAAGTAGCCCTTAATATTTTAGAAATGTTAGTGTTGCTCAAGTCTTAGACAGAAATAGACTACCTGCTATGAATGTCAGACTATTAATTTGACTCTTCCTTTCTGAAAGTATGGCCTTGCCTACCCCAAAGAACTAAACAGTTATCATCAATGTTTGCTTAGCCAAAATGCTTTGGATTTGGAAGTGATAAAAAGAGGGAGATCTGCAGACTCCTGGTGCCTGGAGACATTCATATTACCTGCTTAATTGATTAAATTTACATTTAAATTAGTTCTTATCCCATTTTCCTCAATGTGGAAGTGAGGGGTCAATAGCTACCATCCCGCCTCATTGCATAACCTGCCCGAAAAGGTCTATCTGAGGTAGTTTTCACAGGCACTGGAAAATAACAGCATATCTCAATTTCAATCTGTGTAATTCAGAAAAACTATCACTGTACAAATTAAATCCAAATTAAATCCAAATCAAGTACAAATTAAATCTCTGAATCCTCTTGAAGCCAAGGCTAGAGGCCTTGGAAACAATTGCTACTAACATATTTTCAGTCAATCAAAATACCTCCAGTTTGAGGCTACATAGCTTTCTTTACAACTAAGCCCATGCTATGAAATTTACTTCCTGAGCAAATTAAGTTTACTTCCTGACTGACTGGTAAAACTAAGAACACTAAGTTTCTTATAGCTCATAAAGTGTTAACTGAAACATGTTGTTATTGTTTGTAGATAGTTTTTGCTTTTTTCCCCTTTCTGGTTTACACAAGTTAACAATAAATTCCAGGATCTTGGTGGACAGGACAACAAAGCAAGGAATGTTTTAAATGTGATGTAGCCCAGAATTAACTGATTTCTTCATTTGTCAGAAAGGCTGTTGGATGATCTGATGCTATGATTATTGTGACAAGCCATGTTTTTTTAATTATTCTAGTACAGTATAAATATTTATTCATTTTTACAAGAGGCATGCTTTTGAGCAATAAATAGCACATGACAGAGAAAGGGCTGAACTGCCCTTGAATGTTGCTAAACATATGTCTTGGGAGTCAACTTGGGGTCACAATAAGTTAGGCTGGCTCATATGATCCCTGTAAAATGGAGTTAGAATAGTTAGATGATTTTCAGTTCTAGATAAATGAACTGGAAGGAATTTTGAATCTCGCTCTCTGGTTCACAAAACTACAGATGCAATTTTTAAGAAACAATATTCCTTTATAAACTCTCTGCTGAAAAAACAACAACCCAACTATAGCGAAAAGATGTGTACTTCATGCTAAGCCAAAACCAAACAAAATCTTTAATACTATTGTGTGATATATCAACCCAACCATAGCAGAGATTGGATTGGAACAAAAGTCTTTTATCCCCAAAGTAACATTTTGTACCTAACAACACTGCTCTTTTTACAGATTTTATTTACTTCTTGTTCATACCATGATCTTATGCATGTAAATTATCTTATGTCATGTATATAAATAGCACTGCATTGCAGTGGTTCCTCTACTTCCTTTATCAACAGTTCCAGTTAGTGCTAGTGGGGCAGGAGAGATCATGCTTAATCCCTTGTGAAGTGCTGCATGGGCCAGTTTTCTCCATCTGCTATTTAACGTTTACAAGAAGGCACCAGGCAAGATCATCAAACGTTTTTTGGGGTTGGTATTATCAAATGTAAGGTGCAAGCAACCAGAACACTCATAAATAACCTCAGATTGAAAATACTGTATATTGTTCATCAGCTGCACTGCAATACAGTGCCACAAGAATCTCACCAGATTGCTTGCCTTCCCCTGGGACTGAGCAGATAAGGCTTCATGGATTTGGGAGGAGATCATGCTTATGCTGTTTGTGGCTATGCAACAATTCCAAGCTAGGCCCTCACTTGATTCCTCCTGCCAGCCTATCTGGCAATTCTCCAATATCAATATGTTTATAATACCCAATTCTACATTGCTACCCCAGGCTGGTGTTACCATTGAAGTCTCAGTCCCTGAAAGATGGTTGGGGAACAATAGGCTTAAACTGAATTTTAATAAAATTGAATGACTATTTCTCCATTAGGGTTACTGTCTGCTCCAGTAGAGTCTCTTGATAGGGAAGTACTATTCATAAAGATACAAGACTGGGGATTCTTCAGGAATAGCAAGTCGATGCTGTGGCTGCTGGGGGTAGGGTGGGAAGACTTTTCCTAGCTTTGGCTAGTAAATCAGTTATAAGTTTACTTGGAGTGGGGGGATCATGTTCTCATCACCACCTGCTTAGATTAAAGCAGGGGTGTCAAACTGCCAGTCCGCGGGCCGGATGCGTCATGCCAAAACCACGCCCACCCCATTGCCAGCAATGGAAAAAAACTTGCGATACATTGCGACATGTCACGTGATGTTGCGAGTTTGACACCCCTGGATTATAGCAACATGCTCTGCATAGGGCTACTTTGAAGATCAGTGGCCTACAAGATCAGTGACAATGGCCTACAACTGAACACTGTTTGCTGATGGGAGCAACTCATTGCAAGCCCTAAACTGGATGCTAATAGGCTTCTGGATGCAAATTAAAGTCATGGTACTATTCCATAAAGCCTTACATAATTTGGTGCCTAGTTATTTACAGAACTGCATTCTCTAACTCAGTGGTGGCGAACCTATGGCACGCGTGCCAGAGGCGGCACTCAGAGCCTTCTCTGTGGGCACACACACCATGCCCCAGAGATGGCAACTGTCCCTCTTCAACCAGCTGCCTGCTAACTCGCTGAGGTCCCACGTGGCCAGATGCATCCCGGCACGACTGGTTTCCCTCCCTCCCGTCCCTCCTGGCCTTGCATGCTCTCCTTTTCCTGGGCACGACCCACTACATCGCCTCCTCAGCTGTTGGCCGGCAGCTTCTCTGAACTGCTGGCAGCGGGCTGCGGAGCCCCGGAGTGTGCCGGTCAAGGGCCGGCAGGCTGTGGCTGCTGATGGACGCCATTGGCCCCCATGCGCTTGCTGGCCTCTGTGTGCGGGGGCCGATGTTGTCAGGCAGTAGCTGCCCTGGCCCTTGCCTTGACCCATGGCAATGGCACCCCCAACCTGCCTCACCTTACCCCGCAGGATGAGCCTCCTGCCCACCGCCCCACCTGCCAGAGACCCCCTGGATCTCCCCCAACCCTGCCCACTCCCACAGGCGTCCCTCCCCATGAGCAACATTGAGGTGACTACGCCTACCTTGGCCACACCCACCCAATCTGCCATGACCACCACAGCCACGCCCACCCAATGGGCCACGCCCATCTGGCACCCGGCAATAAATAAGTGGGTTTTGGGTTGCAGTTTGGGCACTCAGTCTCTAAAAGGTTCACCATCACTGCTCTAACTGGAATGGACCTGACCAGCTTGATTTACCAGGAAAAACTACTAGTAATATAGTAGTTAAGGAATTTGGGGGAATGAGAGTGGCAAAACATGATTATGCTATTTTTCAGTGGTTGCATCAGTTTTTTGGAATGGTGTCCCAATGGAAATCTAGTTGACCTCCACTCTGCTTACCTTCTAGAAGCTCCTCAGATCAGTTTCCTGCTTTATTTGGTTTATTGGTTTAATTCATTTAATATAATTACTAATTTTCCAGTAGTATTTGTGTACTTTTTATTTATTTATATGGTCTTTTTATTGCAGATTTGTTTATTATTTCTTATGTATCATCTGTACATCATCAAAAGTCCTTAAGGATTTGATTCTTTATGAATGTTGATGATGATGATAACAAAGATGGAGGTTATCACTGCTAAGACATAGCATTACATAAAATAATCCCTTTTTGCTCTGAGTAAAAGAAATGGACTAATTTATTTGTTGCATATTTTAAGCTATTATTGGCTTTGATCCAGAATGACTAGGTAGATTTATGTGCATAATGCTCTCTATGCTTTCAAATAATCATGCTGAAACTTTGATAATAATTTCTGGTAAACGCCCTTAAAACTAACAGGATGCTGAAAAAAAATATGGCATATTATTTCAAGTGGATGCCTAAAACACATGCTTAAGGGATGCATTCGTACATATGCTGAATAGCAGAACAGAGACTCTAGTGCAGGGGTCTTCAAACTTGGCCCTTTTAAGACTTGTGGACTTCAACTCCCAGAATTCCTAAGCCAGTGTGTCTGGCTGAGGAATTCTGGGAGTTGAAGTCCACAAGTCATAAAAGGGCCAAGTTTGAAGATCCCTGCTCTAGTGCATAATTCCAGACCTATTCTATTTATGTCTTAAGCATACTTCCTAGTACTTAAATGTTACTACTTCAGTAAGTCCATAAGTAAGTCTCAATTTTTGTACATTGAATTTCAACCTTAGAATAGTCCACTTTTTCTCGATAGATCCAATGAATGAAGGAACTGAACAAAGATTTGAAAGAATATGGATAATCTGGTGGAAATCAGTGGATGATGCATCTAAAACCTATTTTTAATAGTCACCTAATTGTAGATTTTATTTTTTTCTCGTTCAATTGATATGAGGACTAATGTTTATCTATATTAAATTCTTTGTATGTACAGTAAAATATAAACAGAAGCGCAAAAATAAAGGCACTATTTTGCCACAACTCCTTAGCATTAGTTTTATTAAAATAAAATTGACTTGCACTCAATTGTGATAAATTAGTGAATGTTCTCTTATAGTTTTATAAAACACCAAATTCATAGCTATGAGTTTTTCAAAGTTCACAAATTTATACCATCTAAATCTCAATATCCTTATCATATTCTCCAGATCCTTATGGAGGTAGATATATTTGAAAGGGAGGTCCTTGCTTACCCTCTCTCTTTGGGTGTCCCGCAACTCCTGAAGGAAGTCCTTCAAAGCATCTCGAACTACTTCTGGATCAATTTCACTTGTGCTTTGCTCTCCCCTGAGAGGAGATGGTTGATGAAATGGTGAACGGGAGCGGCTCCTTTCAGGTGATCCAGTGCGAGACGCAGGTGTTTGGCGTCCACTGGTTCCTATAAAAAACAACAACCAAACACTTGCTTGGTCTCAGTCAACAGACAAGGTTGAATGGGATTTCAAGAAGAAAAGACTTCACAGACAACATTATTTAGGATTTATTTACTCATTTAGTTAATAAGGTTATCTAACAAGATGATATTTTGGGATTGCCGCGAGCTTTCTATTGCCTAAGGCAGGGGTGTCAAACTCAATTTCACTGAGGGCCGCATCAGCATTGCGGTTGCCCTTGGGGGGCAGGGTGGGTGTGGCCAGAGTGGGTGCAGCCTACTGGGTGGGTGTGGATGGAGTGGGTGTGGCCTACCAGATGGGCGTGGCCAGTTCTACATCATTCGCGTCAAGGGTGCCTGTGGGTGCCTGAGCAGGAGTGGGACAGATCTGAGGGTCTCTGGCAGAAGGGGGTGGGACCGGGGCAAATGCCAAGGCATGGTCCACCGGGGCAAGTGCCAAGATGGCCACCACAAAATTGTACATTGGCTCCCGGCTGGCCTGGGCCAGGGCCAAGGCAGTGGGGGCCGTTCCCTCACTGTTTCCAGGATAGCTTCGCGGGCCACATGAAACCACTTTGCGGGCCGCATCTGGCCCCCGGGCCTTGTGTTTGACATGTCTGGCCTAAGGAGAGAACTTTACCATAATTAGCTCCCTACATCTTTTCAGATGGCTATAGCACCACTGTCCACAAAAGCTTTCAAACTGCCTCTCAGCTATGATTTTTCTTTTTGAATAAGGTACTTAAGCAGCTACTAAATACATAGTTTTAATTAACGTACTTTTCAAATTTTCTTTGTAGTTTGTAAGTCATGATTTATGGATTAGTGCCATGAATCAATTATGATTTATTCAATAAATCATATTTTAAAGCTATGGTATTATACAATATAAAAACTAACCTGTTGGTTTAATGTTAGATCAAAATATAGCCATTATCCAATTGTTTGTTGGTTGGTTATTTCATTAAATTTATTAATCTATTATAATATCTATTATAATACCCACTCCAACAGGCTCTGAGTGGCTAACCTAACTTAGCCCATAGCAGTGAGGAGAATTTACAAAATAACCTTTGACTGGAGAGGAGGATCGTTGGGGAGACGGACTCCGGCTGCCAAGTCCCAGTGTGCGACGGAGAGTGGAGTGGAGTGCCACTAACTTCAGCTCAACCTCCCTCTTGGCTGCTTCAGTTTTGGCTAGTTCTGTTTCTAAGCCATGGATGCATCCCTCACAGGTGCTGAGGCGCAGCTGGAGATTTTCGTTTGTCCTGCTTGCTTCCTGAAGCTTCACCTCCAGGCTATGGAGACCATCCTTCCACTTCTTCTCCTTGATGCAACTCTCTGCAAGGCTATGCTTTAAATCCTGCTCTTGAAGCTGGAACTTCACCTCTGCAGAAGACAGTTTTTTCTGCAAGTTCAACACCTGGAAGGAAACAAAATCACGAGGGCAATGTATGTATGTTGCTCCCATCTCTTCAAGGACCCTGGCTCAGGAATTTGACAATATCTGTCAGTGCAAAGAAATCTATGGTAATATTACCAAAAGGTATCCAATAATTTATACCCACCCACCTACTATTAACCAGTTACACAATCCTGACATTTTATCCAATTGTAAACCGAGGTTATATCCTGTTTGAATAATATTTATTTATTTAACTTCCACACACATTTTAATAAGATTGTTATAACATTAATTGTGAGTCACAAGGTAACATTTTGCAATAAATCATTGTTCAAGAATGCTCTTTCAATATATTATGCTATTTCTAATGTAAGAAAATTCTTTTGAGCAATGAACATGGTACATAACTAGTTGGACATAAATAAAAAAAATAAATTTTATACTTTATACTTACAAAACAAATACATATACTTATAAGTGTATATGATACTTTTACTATCTTCCATAAACTCCCTAATCATGTACTATTTTCTATCCATTAATGACTTTGCAAAAGTAATCTAATCTAATCTAATCTAATATATCTGTAATTCAGCAGATAATAGAACCTGGTTGATTTTGTCTGGGCTTAGAAGCAAAGCAGCATTGGGCCTGGTAAGTATTTGGATGGGAGAAATTCCAGAAACTTCCACAGCTGTAGTTTAAATAGGGAAATGGAGAAAAAATAGTGGCAAATTATTTCTTAGTTTATACTATTGCTAAGAAAATTGCATGGATGGACCATAATTCTTTTTCTGCCATCAGTTTTCTATGTTTCTATTTTTCTGTAAGTCACCAAGTCAACTTCAGCTCAAAAGGACACTTCACCTTCACTACACATAAAATTACTGTATTATTATATGTGTTGGTCTTCACAATTACATCCTTACCCTATTGAATATGCAGTTTACCAAACATTTTATTTCTATTGCATTCTTTCACAAAATGCTGCTTTCTTTCATTGTTTCAACTTATTCTTCAATTCTTCTTTCATGAAATAATCACTCCTTGCTATTATCCCATTGTTACCTCCTTATGAGCAGAATCATGGCCAATCTCCAGAACGGATATCTTCTGTTTAAGATCCAGAACCTCTTTGCTGTTCTGCTGCTCCTGCTGTTCTTTTTGCATCAACTGATGTTGTAATTCAGTGACTTCCTGGGTTTTCTTGCTGTTCTTGTTCTCCAGGGACTTTACCTATGCAGAAACAATTTGAGTGCAGCCATTCTCCAGTGCAGAATCTATGTTTCAAACTCCCAAATTATATGTGGAATTTTCTGCATAAAACAATTATTGCCATGCTTGGTAACTGCTTCTAACTACCATGATTGACCATATCATACCCCAATCGTAATTTAGCTCTAATTTAGCTACTAGATTCTTCAGCAAGAAGATGCTGCCTATTTGTTGTATATGTATCATGATATCAGAAAGGCCTGAAAAGGAAAATAAGTTATAGGGACAAAACTATATCATAATTGAGGAGACAGAAGAGAGGAGAGAGGTATTACATGCAGAAATGATATAGGATACTTTCCAAAAGATTTTAAAATAATAGCAAGAATTGTATTTGGAGTGGTGCTACTGCATCTGCCATAGTTCATACTTACTGGAGGTACCAGTCTCAGGAGTTAACAGTAATGTCAAATACATCCTTCCTAACCTCTATCTGATCATGTCAAGTGTTTCCCTCCATTAACCTGTTATATTCTTGGACCTGAACTGAACCATGAGAAAGTCTGTTTGTAAGCTACCTCTCTGCGCAGCTCCTGAAGTTCCCTTCGGGCTTCCATGTGTGCCTTCTCTACTTCCCGTAGATTTACTCGGAGCTCTCCCATCTCTCCCTCAATTGCGGCTTTTGCTTCTTCCAGAATGGCAATTTTCTGTTCTCGTTCTTCCTTGATTCTCTGCAGTCTACAAGAGGTCAAGTGTTTATTATCAGTCATCTCTAAAATCACTATGTCTGTTCCATCAATGTGTATGAACTTCTTCTCACAGCCCAACACTGTGCCAAATCTGACCTGAGCCTCTCATTCTCTGTTTTTTTGACAGCTGCTCTGAGGTCACCATTGGACTTCTGAAGTGCTTCCTTTTCTCTGTTCTCATCTGCTACAGCCCTGTGAAATTCCAGTAGCTCTTTTTGTCGCTGATCACAAGCTTCTTCCGATTCCTGTAGTCTCTGGTGAAGCTCAGTGAGTTCTTTGTGAACATCTGCATAGGTATCTTCTGCCAAACGTAATTGGGCTTTGAGCTGTTCTGCCTTTAAGAAAAAGCTACAGTACATCAATTTTAAGGCACTTTGGAAAATAATCCTAATGACTTCAAGAGAATTTACTCAAGGGGAATTGATATTGGTGTAGTTCCAGGGTGAGATTGGGGGCACAACACATAGTTAAAGGCACCATGCATATGTTATTAGGCATCTACTATCCAGAAATAATACGGTCCTGGGATCCTTGGTGCTCTCTGAGCTTGGTTGTTTTCTTGCAGATGTTTCATTACTAAACTAGATAACATCATTAGTGCTAGGATGGACTAGGACTAGCACCGATGATGTTACCTAGTTGGAATGAAACATCTGCAATAAAACAACCAAACTCAGAAAGTATCAAGGACCCCATTGTTCAACCATAAAACACAAATATTTGCTTCTATCTATATCATATGGTTAATATGCAGTGGATTGCAGTCTTGACTGATTAAAGCATGCAGATGAAAAATTGATCTCCAGAGGGAAAGGCACACATCTGCAATTTAGTACAATTTGCCCCTGCTTGATGCCCTCCAACTACATTGAACTTCAGCAACCTTTTTATTTTATCTATATTTAAACAAAGGAAGTATTTAAAATGCAGGTTTTGGGGAAATATAATCCTAATCTAAAGCCTAACACAGAATTGGTAACATATATTATCTAAAGGGAAAAGTAGCAGTAAAAAAATCTATTATCCACATATACTAGAATTATATATATGTCTACTAAGATGAAAGTTGTTCAGTAGGACTTACTTTTGAATGTAAGTTTATACTGTAGGATTTTACTGACTTCCTTTTTAAGTGAGAAATGAGTCATAATGACATTTCACTGTCTGAAATATTAGATAAAAATTTCCTAATGAAAATTTGACCTACCTTTCATACTGTTACTAAGGTAGTTTGTAGCTAATATTTTTGTCAGGCAAATAATATTAATGGA